AGAACATTTGGTGCATCGCACGGGTGTATATATAAAATATATAAAATTAAGTACAATTTTTATCTTTTAATAAAATAAAAATATTTACATATCAGTTATGTTGTAATGGTTGTTACTTTTCTTTTTGTTTCATGATCTTGCCACCTTCTTTTTTCTATTTTGCTTTTCGATAAAACAAGGAGAAAATCAAAACAAACTTACATCCCAGGTAAACCTATCCAAATTTTATCAAATTTAAAAATTTCACATCATACTCACATATCTCTACCAAATTAAACTCAAAGTCAGCATTTTCAATTAATCCCTAGCCAAACATGTTGTTCTTGGTATTATGTCCCATGCACTAGAAGTGTTCATAGGAGTCTTGGCCCCAGCTAGCTCATCTCCATTCTGATCATGTCAAGATAAATATATTTTAAATTAAAAAAAAGTGGGGTGAGACATCACACGTGGGATGAAATAAAATTTTACTCAACACAATATTGGGACATCCAGTCCTATTTTGAATAAGTGTTATTTACAGTAATTTTGTTTTTTTATATGTATAATTTCACTTCATTTGTGTTAAAAAAAATGAAGGCACAAAAAAATATTGATATGTTATAACATGTCCACTTTTTTAAAATTTTGAGATTTTATGTGTGTGTGTGTGTATGTTTTCATAAGACAATAAATTAAAACATATGGATGGCATGAATGATGAGGCACCTAGGATATGGTTGTTTTAATCAATAAAAAAGCATGTTGATTTGGGAAATGGGATTAACAAAAAATTATATACACTGCAAAATATATTGACCATTCCTAGAGTGTTTCTATTGCGTCTTCATAAATGACTATAAAATCAAGATTTCTATTAGTAATGGACTATATAAATATATAGGAAAGAAGAAGCACTCTTGATTAATGATGATGTATAAACTTCAATTCTCCTATAGGTTATTAAATTAAAATATATGGATTTAGCCAAGAAAAATTAAAATATATGGATGACATGAATGATGAAGCATATGGGACATGGTTGGTTTAGTTGATAAAAAGTACATTAATAATTGAGAGATGAGTTAACAAAAATCATATTCATTGTAAGACAAATTGACTATGCCTGGATTGTTCTAGTTGTGTCTTTAAAATTGAATGTGATAATCTTTTTAGAGGATTTTCCCAATCACATCCCATCCCGATCTCAAACAAATAGGATGTGGGATGAAAATTTAGTTTTAATTCTTTTTTGCAATAAGACACGAGATAGAATTATTGATTGTCCTGATCTTGTCCTACAAAACACCTCTACCATCCATATCACTACTCAAATCAAGTAGATTCTATAATTAACTTTGGCCTTTGATTTAAAAAGAGTAACAAAGATTGGTAAATTTTAATATGTTTATATGTTGTACTATCAATATATTAGGTAGTGGTAGATAACAAGTTTAATGTCCTAATTATACAATATATTTGTACAAAATTCACTATTATGATTATACATGTATTAGAATATTGTACAATATAAATAATATTAATTTGTGTAATACTCAATATTATTTAATATTAACTAAAAATGCAAAACTTTTCCAACAAAGTCTTCCAAGGTGAATAATGAGCTTAATGAGTTCGCACAATGAATCATTTTTATAGGAGATAGAAAGATTATAGAAAATAACAATGGGAAGAAAAAGATCATTATTCCATATGTCATTTTACTATAATGCTCAATTAAACTTATAGAGTGCATAGTTAAATCTACATATCCAAATTTTATTATTCATCTCATTCAAGATTAATGACTAGTTCTATTTTAGAGATAGGGCCATATTAGCACTTACATTGTCTATAGTGGATAAGGTTGATGAATATATGCTATCCATGCATTCTTAGAGATGAAGTGTTGTGTTTACGCTTAGATAGTGTGAGCAAGTAAGATGGAAATATTGACTCGATGGATTACTTTGTATTCCATTGAGTTCCTTAACTCAATAGAGTTTGGCCTCCTAAATCATGCATTGAAGCTTAAGATTGGATCCCTTATTATACTTTTAGAAGTATTACTAAATCTCTTGATCTATGTGATAACACATGTTTTAATTGTTATGGAGACAAGAAAACATATTCTCAAAGTATCAACAATTTTAGGTTCAAATGCTAGGATAAAGATCTACATTCTAAGAATTGATATGTCACCTTCTAACTCTCGATTGCCATTTACTCTTTATAGAAGACAATTTTCTATTTTATCATTATTTACTATGACCATAAACAAAAGCCAATGTTATAACTTGCTTAGTATTGGGCTGTGCTTACTAAGACTTGCCCTTATACATGGCCAGCTATGCATTGTTGTGTCTCAAGTGTGAAATAAGAAAGGGTTGAAGTTTTTTTTTTTTTTAACACATAGGTATCCTCTTATTAAAGATAATCTTATTCGGGACATTATCGAACATTAAATGTGGGTACTTATCTTAGTAAGTATTTGAACCTTAGTCACCACTTTGTGAGAGATTGGCCCTTTGTACTAAACCCAACCTGTATTAGTAAAGGGTTGAAAATGTTAATTCTTAATGTAGATGATAAGCCAACAAATGTTATTGCAATCGTAGAGCAACAATCTAACTGATGTATGTATGACAGCCATCTATCGTTGAGATGATTTACTTTTTCTAATTGTTATTGTTATCTATCTTTTTTTATTTATTGTAACAATTTGTTGCATCCATCTTCCAGTTGTATTTAAAATTTATCTATTATGTTATCTCATGCTTTTTCATTTGTTATCATTTTTTAATATTAATTATTAATTGAGTAGCTATATATTTTCATTATTTTACTAATATAAATACTTAATATGTATTAATTGTCACTATTTAACACTTAAAAGAATATATAAAATAACATCTCGTGCAACTCACGGTTAATTGACTAGTATATATACATACATACATACATAAGACTCAAGTATACATGTCTTAACCGAATCATGGGTAATCAGCTCTCTATTTCTCTTGTGATTTTACTTGGATGCAAGCTGGTTAATTTTGCAGAAATAAATTATTATTTCCTTAAGGTTTCATTTGAAAAGATAATGCACACATTTAATTCATACATACAATAAATTTATTATTGGATTTGATTTTTTAATTTATTGAAAACATGATCACAAATTTCAGTCTACTTGTTTTAGAATAATTGCAATCAGCATTTTCTGTCAAACCATTATCATCATCATCCAATCACATTGAATATTATTCCTAATACTAACCATAATTATGATTGTGATTTTACATTTAAAAATTAGGTGACCATTGTTATATACAATTATTTCCAATTTCCCATTAATATCTGCATTTCCTATTCCCATTTAAAATATTATTCTCCCAAAATGCATTTAAAGGTCAAATCGTGGAGCAATTTTGAAAATTTGTGATTCCTATTATCACCCATAATCAATGATTCATCATATATATAGAATACTCCATCAATATATATATATATATATATATATATATAGTAGATATTTATTTTTTATTAAAAAAATTATTTACTCAATTTGAAAATTTCTCGTCAATATTACACGATAATCAATCTTTAATCTTGCCCTATATAGAGCACATAAATTAGTTGATCAGATGAATAATTATTGTTATATCATCATGTGATTTTCTGATTGAATTAATGGGGTTTTTCAAATTTTCCTCCTTTCAACGCGTGCTGATCAATAAGAAATTGCTCTTCCCGTCCTTTTGTTTTCTCACATTTCCTTCATTGCTAGTTAATTTGTTCTCTATCATTCTTCTTAACCGATGTTTTGTCATTTGTATTTTCAATTTCCGGTCTTCCATCAACAATCCTGCAGACCTTCCTTGTAATGTAACATCTCAAAAATTAATTTCGAAATTAATTTAATTAATGGAGAGTAATTAAGTAAATTTATGTAATAATTAGTTTGATGATGGTTTGAGACAAATAATAGGTAATTGGGCTTTGAAGGGTACTAAGCTGCTTGGGCCAAGTGGTTTAATATTAGCATTTTTAATTTTAATTTTTAATCAATTTAAATAAAAAGATATGTTATAATTAATATATATAACCATAAAAAATTTAAGTAATCACCTACTTACAAGTTAAGAAAAAAGTGTAAGTAATCACAGAAATTGTGATTCAATTCAATGAAAAGTTGTTTGATGCATATAGCAAGATTTAGTTTCGCTGCTCATCTCATGGTGCTCAGCACCAAGACACTGCATTTTACAATGTTAATTTCTTTTCTTTTCTCTTTTTAAATTACAAAATTGTTATTATAATAATAAATAAATTTTATAAAATTATTTTTTTTAATTTAATAAATAAATAAATAAATTTGACTTGTTAAAATTTGACCTGAATAGTTCATATAGAAATTTTGGTCTAAATAGTTTAGAATTGTAATAAAAAAAATAGAACTATAACTAAACATATTTTATAAAATATTTTTTTATGTTATTAATTTTTCACTAATGAGAGGTAATATCATTTAAAGTATGGTCAAGTATTAAATATAAGTATTTTTTTTAACATGAATTTGAAGATTATTTTTTACATTGTAAAAAACTCGCTCATTTTGCTAAATTCAATTTTTTATTTTAAACTATTCAAGTCTTTTTTTACAATTTTTTAGTAAAGTTCTAAATTGGTCAGACCAAAATTTTTATCTGTTCAGGTCAAAATTTAGCAAATTAAATTTATTTATTTATTAAATATTAAAATAATAATTTTATAATATTTATTTATTATTATAATACTAATTTTGTAATTAAAAAACAGAAAAAAAAATAATTTTCAGTGTTTTGGTGCCGAGTACCACCATGAGCATCGAAACCGAATCCCGCCTGTATAACGTGGATGCTGATCGATTCTGGCTGGAACGATATTCATTCACTTTTTTATATTCTTTTTCTTGGGGATAAAGGATATGACTTGGGGCCGAAGAAAAGCCGAGACTTTAAATACCCCATTAATGCCAGGCATTTATCAAGGCGCTTCAATAACCTCTTCTTCGAAGAAAATCACTCCACCAAATTTCGTTCATTTTCTTCTGCCGTGGTTCCACTGCCACTTAGAGCCTCAGTCTCACTCACATGGCAATTCTTCTTGGTCCTCCTGAGATCTATAACTCCGACAACAATGCCCCACCATCCACCGTCGTCGATGACGTCATCACTTCCGGTGATCTTTTTATGAATCTCATGGTGGCCAATTTCAACAAAACCCAAAACCAGCGTCAAAACATGGGCTTAACGGAGAATAATTCTCCAACCTTCCTCTCCACCGGCGACCCTTGCCTTGATTTCTTCTTCCATGTTGTTCCTGACACTCCCTCTTCTTCTCTGATACAGAGGCTTCAATTGGCTTGGTCTCATAACCCATTAACAACCCTCAAGCTCGTTTGCAATCTCCGAGGAGTGAGAGGAACGGGAAAGTCTGATAAAGGAGGATTTTACAGCGCCGCCTTATGGCTTTACACCAATCATCCCAGAACCCTCTCGTTCAACGTCTCCTCATTTGCTGACTTTGGCTACTTCAAGGACTTGCCTGAGATTCTCTATAGAATTTTGGAAGGCCTTGAAGTGCGAAAACTTCAAAAAGAGGAATGGCTGCAGAGGAAAGGAAGCAGAAAGCATAACAGGAAATCTCGAAGGAGCAAGGCCACAAAAGCATCGGTTCCAACGATGACCCAGAAAGAGATAGCTCATGTTACAAGGCAAGATAAAAGAATAGCAATGGCTAAGAAAGTCGTACAAAGATATCATAGTGATTCTAACTTTCGCTTACTATACGATCATATCTCTGATCATTTTGCTGAATGTTTGAAGACAAATATGGAGTTTCTCAAATGTGGGAAACCAGAAAAGATTAGCCTCGCTGCCAAATGGTGTCCATCTATTGATTCCTCATTTGATCGTTCTACACTGCTTTGTGAAAGCATTGCAAGGAGGATTTTCACCCGAGAATCCTATCCAGAGTATCGAGAGGTTGAAGAAGCCCATTATGCTTATAGGATTCGCGATCGTTTAAGGACGGAAATTTTGGTGCCGTTAAGGAAAGCTCTGGAATTGCCAGAGGTATATATTGGTGCCAATCAGTGGAGCTCAATACCATACAACAGGGTAGCCTCAGTGGCCATGAAATTCTATGAAAAGAAATTCATGAAGCATGACAAGGAAAGATTTAGCAAGTACCTGGAGGATGTCAAATCAGGCAAATCAACTATAGCAGCCGGTGCATTGCTTCCCCATGAGATCATAGCATCGCTACATGATGATGATGAAGATGAAGATGAAGATGGTGATCATGGCCAAGTAGCAGAGCTTCAGTGGAAGAGAATGGTGGACGACTTACTCAAGAAAGGGAAACTAAGGAGCAGCTTAGCCATCTGTGATGTTTCGGGAAGTATGAGTGGAACCCCAATGGAGGTATCTGTGGCAATGGGGATATTGGTATCTGAAACGAGTGAAGAGCCATGGAAAGGGAAGGTCATTACATTCAGCAAGAATCCAAGCCTGCATTTGATACAGGGGAAGGATCTGAAGTCCAAGACAGAGTTCGTGAGAAACATGGAATGGGGAATGAACACCGATTTTCAGAAGGTGTTTGACAAAATTTTAGAGGTGGCTTTGAATGGTAATCTGAAGGGGGATCAAATGATTAAGAGGGTGTTCGTATTCAGTGACATGGAATTTGATCAAGCATCATACAATCCTTGGGAGACTGACTATGAAGCAATCAAGAGAAAGTACAGAGAAAATGGGTTTGGGTCTGCAGTGCCTCAGATAGTTTTTTGGAATCTGAGAAACTCAAGGGCAACGCCAGTAGCTGTCAATCAAGATGGAGTGGCATTAGTAAGTGGGTTTTCTAAGAATATGCTTAAACTGTTCTTAGATAATGATGGGGCCATCAACCCCCAAGCTGTCATGGAAGCAGCAATTTCTGGCAAAGAATATAATAAATTAGTTGTGTTGGATTGACTCAGTTGTAAAATTCCCTCACATTCACCTCAAATATCCTAGTTTATTTTTCTCCTTTATGGTCTTTCTGCTCCTTTGTGTTAGAAAAGTTCATTTGGAATGCTATAGCTTCACCAAACTTTGTCAATTTTCATTTTGCATATGATGATGCTCAAATTCTTATAATGGAGGAAATTGTCATGATATGGCAAGAAATGGTTCTAATGGAAAAAATAGGCCCGAAGCTTTATTAAATGGGTTGTAGTGAGTGGAAGTCACTTAGGACATGGGAATGAGAATATAAAGCAAATGAAGACTGGAGGGCATTGGGGAAGAGATGGAAGAATTTTGATGAAACTGTCTCCCTTTATTTCTCTTCTTTCTGGATACTTCGTCTTCTTGCTATTTCCCTGTTATGCAATTTTGAATTTTCATAGTTGTACTCAGCAACATGAAATTGAATAGCTATGGTTGTTAATTTAATCTTAATTGCGGAAACTAATACAATGGTATATTTCCCCGTATTTCCACTGTGCTTCCTGTTATTTTCACTCATTGAGAGAAGTGATCGTGACAGAAATTGAAGGTCACGTAAATTCATGATCAGAAAGACAGAATATGTAATATGATTTTTGTAAGAAAAATATATATGAAAACATAATTAGGGTTGTTTATGGGCATGGCATTAATTTTGAAGATGGATAATATGGTATTTATTTTTTTTATTTTGGCCCACTGATATTTATCGCTGGTTACCTACAATTGTGGCATCAATGGTTTGACTTTGATTCACATGGCACGACAAGTTTTATTACATAAATGAATAAAAACATAAATATTAGAATAAGATTATTCATTTAAAATCTTGATAACTTATTTAATGGTTGATGATGATGTTGATATCTTCGATGACAATAAGCTATTTAGCCAAATAACTTATAAAATTTATTTTCCAAAAGTGATGATCACTTGCCACCGGTTAAGTGAGATTTTACTTTTTCAATATGAATTTATTAAAAGTCTAATTTATGTTCTTTTTAATATGTTAATAATATTAATAATATAATAACGATTTATTTCATGTTGTACATTTGTTTAATATAAGTATAATTATATTTTTATTCATTGTTAGACATATCCATTTTAAGTATAAATAAATAGATAAATATAAGTGAGATTATAACAAAAATCAATTTCTGCATATTTAGTAGTGATTTTATAGACAACTACAATATATGTTTCTCACTACACATATCACTCATAAATTGCTATCATAAAAGATACTTCCTCCGTTTTAAATTATAAAATATTTTTAAATAAAATCTCACATATTAATAAATCTTTTTAAATACACTTAACAACCTTATCTTTTTAAAATAAAAATATAAAATTTTAAAAATATTCATTATTTAATACATTAAAAAGAGAAAGAACATAAATTAACTATAGAGAGAGAAAACAATATTAAAATTTGTACATTTAATGAAATTTTAATTTATTCAAAATTTTTTATATTTTGAAACAAATAAACTCCTTAAAAATATCTTATAATTTAGGATAGAGGGAGTACTATTATGAAGTTGTTATTATCACCCATAAATACCCCTAGCTCTTGTGTCTCATTTACTTCATTTCTTCTCCTCATCCCCTTCTTCCATTCCATCGTTTCTCTCTACTCTTCTAGTAAAATTTCTCTCTTTCTTTTTTACATTATTTCATTTTATTATTTTTATTATATTATTATAAGTTCTTCTTCCCCTCTTCAACTTCATTTTAATCTACTAGCATTTTCTTCTTCTATACAATCTTCTTCTACTATCATTTCTTCATTCCAATATCTTCCAACAAATTTATCTACTCCTTCAATCCATTCAAACAAATAAAATTATTAAATTTTATATAAATTAAATTTAAAATATGTATACCACTTAAATATTAAAAATTTCTTGTTGGACAAAATAAATTTACTTATGAATTTTTTAAAAAAATTATTTTTAACTCAATAATTTTAATTTTAAAAGAAATTCTGGAAATTAATAGAGATTTTAAAAAAAATAAAAAACTTTTGTAGTGGTTCTATAAACATCTAAAAACATAACTAGTAAATAATTTAAAATTTAACGCTAGAGGGATATTTAAAATTTTAAACTTTTTAGCAGCACTACAAAATAAACTTGCAAATTTCAAATTTTTAAACCTTGTAGTAGTTATCGCAATAAGTGTTGGCACTAATTTTCAAATTTTCAAAATTATTACCGCTACAAAGCTCCCTCAAAAAACAGTTTAAATTTGTTTTCTCAACATCCAAGTCATTCGTCATCGCAGTTTATAGCGTTTTGTGCAACCGTTGCACTATTTGAAGTGGTTTGACTTTTATAATGGTAGTTTTTTGCAAATGCCACCATGCTGCTCACTACAGTACATTTAGTAGCGGTTTGCAGCTACTAAAGGGGTTTAAAAGTGTTACTAAAGTCTTTTTTTTTTTTTTTGTATCATAGCTTATTATATATTTATATATAAAATAAATTATGTGGAAGTCGTAGATATGTAATATAATTGTGTGCTCGGCTTGGCTGAATTCAGATTAATTGGAGATTATGGCTTTGAATGCTAATTAACTTTATCTTGGAGATAATAAACTTCTATCATGAGAAAAGTAGTACACTAAATGAGTACATAAATTAAAATTTCATTATTATTTAGAGAAACATTTCAATAATTAAACAAGGACATAATTAATTAAGGGCACTTGGGTCCTCCTTCCTTGGTCTTCCAATTGTTATAGCAAGGACACTCTTCCTTATGACCATATGTTCCTGATGGCACACACAAACACTTCTGGCAACACTTATTGCAGAAAGTCAAACATGCCTTTCTGTATTGAGTGTTTGAACATCGATAATCACATGCACTTGCACATTCTGAGTAATTAGAAAGCAATAAGCATATCATTCGTATAAATAATTATAACTAGTTCATTAAAATATCATATGATGATTGTTCTTTTATCAACAATATATTTATATTGTTATGTAAGAATTTTTTAGAAAATTGATTTGTACACTTACGTTCTGGACGAAGTGATCCTTCTCCACCAGCCTGAACAATTTGAAAAGAAGGGGGCAAAATTAGAATCACACATACACATGCGTATTATATCTATAAAGGGAGAATTATGTATATACAAATTCCATCTAAGACAATTAATTACTCCTGGTTTTATTGACAACTGAGCTTAGGTTGTCATTCTATTAAATTAGTTGTCAATGAATTTTGGAGTAATTAATTATTGGGATCTTAAAATAATTCTCCTATATATATATATATATATGATTTTATTAGAGTCTATGGGACAAAAAGTCAATTTGATTTTATATTTGGTTTAATTTTTAAATGACTTATCAAGTATTTTGGTGTAAAATTGCACCGGACGTTGACTCTTGAATGAGGTTTATTTGTATTGTTATTAGTTTTATATCGGGAAACTTTACAAGATATGTGGACTCTTCCAAAACTTGTGCTTGTGGCACTTAAACTGTTGATTTATTTTGGCATTTAAATGCACATGGGATTTTAGTAAATATTTTAAAGTAAGTTACAATTTCGACTCCAAAATATGAAGAGCTAATATAGATATTCGCATTTCGATCATGGTTAAACAAAAATACTAAAAAAACAAAAAAGTAAACGATTGATTACATATTATAATAACATATAAAAAAATCTGTGGCTTAGTGGATTTGGATTTACTGAAGGATAAATGGAAGAAACAGTGGTAAAAGTCCATTTTTAATTTTACACAAAGCTGTTAAAAAAAATCAGCCTTATTATATAAAAAATTTTAAAACAAAAAAATATCAAAAATAGTTCCAAAAATAAGTAAAAAATTGAAAATCCTCAAGCTAAATAAAAAAGAAAGGAGAGAAAAAAGGATGGACTCACATGAGCAACTGGAAGGAAAAAAGCCAGAGCGAGGAGTATTAGAAGAAATGCAGAACGAAGAATCACCGCTTTTGCCATGATGCAATTCAGTCACACACTGTGCTTTCAGTCTCTTCTACAAAATTAATTGAGACTTCAATTTGTGTTGGATTGATCGATTTATAGAGGTGAAAAGAATTCAGGAATAGTAATGAATTTATTAGTATTAATGACATTAGATTTCTTCGTTCAAAATAAGAAATTAAATGACATTAGATTCACGGAATGTTATTTGATTTTCAACCATGGAAAAAAGAAATTCTTGAAAATGATGATTTCATTAAGATCATTGATTGCAAGATTCAACTATAATCAACGAAGAAAAATAATGGCCTCCTCTTTTCTTTTCTTTTTTTATTTGGCTTTCTCTCTCATTTTAATATATTTTTTAAACATTTTATTATAGTACACATTAGAAAGAACAATTAATACTTCCTATGTTTTTCTACGAGAAATTCTCGGATGGAACGATGCTCTATGTCATCGATAATTTATTCAATAAAATTGCACTGATCTAGACAAATAAAATCTTATATGTCATTTTTTTAATGACTTCATTTTTATAATATAATATAATATAATGCCTATTTAATTGCATGTATAATATAATGCATATGTTATATCATTAATATTAGAATTAATTTAGATTTAGTGAAATCTGAATGCATCTTATATGTCATTATTTTTAAGGACTTTAATGTCATAAGATAAAAAAAAAAAAAAAGATGATGGATCTCTTACGGAAGGGCAATTTTGCTCTTGAAAAATTTTTTGAGAGGAATATTACTTCACCTTTCAGTATAAGATATCTAATGCTACTAAAAAAAAAAAAGTTTAGGAGAAAAAATTGTCTTTAACCCTTGATTCTTGGAGCCTTTGCATAGATAGCCCATATTATAAGACCAAATTAAAAAAATAGCCTATCCTTTCTTAAATTTTAAAAATGACCTTTTTAATATTTAGATTATAATTAATTTACAAAACTGCCCTTTTTAATATCTGCTTTTTTCAAATACCATGAGATTCAAAATGTAAGAAATATTTGAAATGAGAGAGACAAATGCAAGAGAGAAGATGGAACTCAACGTGAGAGAATCGAATGCGAGATAGCAAAGTAGTGTGAGTAAGCCATAGTCACGACAGTGAAAGACAAATGTGAGGTGAGATATATCAACGGTACTCATGGAATGGAGTGCATCGGTGAGGAAACAGAGCTACAAATTCATGATTTTTTATTTTATTGGTTTAGGTATTTGATTCTCTATGATAAACTAAGAGTCCAAAATTTTTTATGAACTATGTTTGATTTGTTTTGGGCAAATGACTATGTGTTTTTTGTGTTACTGATCTATGATATTATATCATTGATATACGACTATATATCAATTATAAATAAGTTTATATTTGATTGTCTAGTTATGTTAATCTATGATAGTATATTAGTGATATACTATTATATATCACTGATATATATACCATATCAGTAAAAATTTATCAATTTGTTTATCATTGATATATAGCTATATATCAATGATGTAGAGTAATGGAGTTTTCTCTTCAATGTCTAATGTCCTCTTTGTAATATCTGAAAAAAGTAGAGAGGGAGAGAGAGGAAAAGCTCTGTAATGAAGATGGTGATCCAGATAAATCAACTAAAAAATTTTAAAAAAGAAAAGCATTGTACGAGAGATGAATATGATGATCTAGAAAAATTAGATAAAAAATATGAAGAAAATGCTTAGAGATAATAAATCAGAGAGGGAGTACACACAATATGATGTTTTATGATAAAAATGAAAGATCCAGTTAGTTAAAGATTAGTTAAATTAGATATATTTTATTTTGATAATAAATTTATTCTAAGGATAAAAAAAACACATCTAATTGATTTTATAAATGGGTCATATTCTAAAATATTCAAAAATCTCATCCATAATTTATGAGATTTATATTTTTTTTAGGCCAATGAGCTAATTTTCTCTTGATTCTTTTAGAAGTAATATTGATTAAAAATTAATTAATAGTTTATGAGAGAAAGAGGTAGAAAAATCGTAAGAAATTAAAAGATTTAGAATAAATTGGCTTAATGGTGGTGAAAAATATAGTTCTCATAAATTATAGATGAGGTTTTTGAGTATTTTAGAATATTGTCCATTCACAAAATCAATTAGAGATGATTTTTTCCCCCATAAAATAAATATATTATTAAAAAAACATGTGTAAACTTATTCACAAACATATCTCCTGTAACTAACTAAATGATTTTGCCCTTTAACTAATTAAATCATATCCTGTACACACAACCATTATATCTCTCTCCCTTTCACAACTGTTCCTTCCCTTTCTTTTGCAAGATATATCCTAACATAAGTAGTTCAATTTTGTGCACCTACAAATAAGTCTCATTGCTAGGCTTCCTTACGTGAAGATAAATGTAAACCTAGAACTTTCATTGCAAAGGGGAGTCTTGCCAATGCTTTTCTTCTCTCTCCCTTTATGTTTTTCCCAAGTACATCAACAAGTAGATATTTGACACTGAAGACTAAACTGTATCATCTGATTCAACATCTTGCATTGTGTAGTTCAAGCTTTGAATTAAAGTTGTCCTGGATCCTATTTTTTGGAAGTTGAAGAGTATTATTTATCATCGATTTTTCACCGTCTTCATATTCTTGGTAATATTTTCACTGAATCAATAAATCATTTGTTCATAATATGTGATTTGTTGTCATTGATCATGAAACTTTGTTTGCATTATTACCAAAAAAAACATATTATTCTCTCGTTGTTCATGATTTTTTATTTTATTAATTTAGGTATTTGATTATCTATGATAAGCCAAGTTGTTTAAAATTTTTTATAGATTGTGTTTTATTTGTTATGGGAAAATGATTATGTTGTTTTCGTGTTTTTTATTTACGATAGTATATCACTGATATATCATTATATATCAGTGATAAAACATATCAGTGATAACTTATCAACATCATTTAATCTTGTATATATGGAGATGCTTAATCTTGTCATTTTTTATTATGGAAAATGGGATTCAAACAACCGTTATGTGGATAGTTAATACCTTGAAGTACTTGTGAAAGATAGAACTCCATATTTTAGTGTCATGGAAATTGTGTATGAGAAATTATAGTTGAATGCAAGTCATGAGGTCAAATTGATAGTTTCTTTTGATATTAGGACTTTAACATATAGCATTTTAGAGGTGAAGAATGATAATGATTTAATATGGTATTTTAATTCATTGAGAAATTCACAGCTCTTTAACTTTTTGTTGATTGTCTCTCTTTTTAATGGATCTTTGTCCATATAAAAAGTGTTTGAACCTTGTCATGAAGGAGCTAGTTTCTTAACTTCATGTTCTTTTACATTTACAAATAATAAGCATTGTAATGGAGTCAATGAGCATTTACAAACGGACGATATTAAGGAGGGAGATGTATTCTTTAGCTTGGATGTTCAAAAAGATTTACAACTCTTAGTTATGAAAAAGGATTTTGAATACAAAAATCAAATCAAATGGTCAGAGACTTACTATTGCTTGCAGTGTTGATAGTTGTAAATGGTATGTATGGGCCTTAACAATTTCTTCTACTCAGGTTTGGGTCATTAGACAGTATGTTAAGACCATACTTGTGCTTTTGATATCGTATATAGTGATCATAGGCAAGTAATAAGCCTTATCATTAGTAAATGTGTGAAGGAAAAATTCATTGATGGGGAATGTAATAACCCAAAATCAATAATTAAGCATATGCGTAAGGAATTTGGAGTTGGTGTTAGTTAGCACAAGTCATAGGGAGCAAAGGAACTTGTTTTGGAAGCAATTCAAGGTTGTTTGGAGGATTCTTATGCCCAATTACCTTCCCTATGCTATGCTTTAACTCACACAAATCTTGATACATATTTATTAGTGATATATAAAAGTTTATCAATGTTATATTTAGATAGTAATTAAATTAGAACTATTATTTTATTTGGAATGTAACTATGTTATGTATCCTACTTGGTTGTTTTATTCATCAATAACATGATACTGATATTGTTACAACTATTGAAGATAGTGGTAATGGTCATTTCAAGTATTTCTTTGTATCATTTACTACTTCTATTGAGGGATGGAGTCATTGTTGGCTAGTTATATTGGTTGATGGAACTTTCTTGAGGAATAAATATGCGGGGACTCTTCTAATTGCATGTATTATAGATGCGAACAATTCAATCCTTCCATTAGCATTTGTAGTTGTTGACTCATTGACTAGTGCTTCTTGGAAGTGGTTTCTCTAAAATTTAAAATATGCATTATGTTATTGTCAAGACTTAGTATTCATTTTGGACAAGAAAAGTAGTATTCCATACAAAGTCTGCCCAAGAGGGGGGCTGAATTGGGCTACATAAAAATTTAATGGATAATGCAAGAATTAAATGAAGTTAGGACTTATATCACTAAACAAAGTTGAGAGAAGGGAAGAGAAGCTTTACACAAAACATTTATCCTAGTTCATCTCTCACTACTTAAGCCTACGTCTAGTCCCTAAGATATACTTGAGGTTTTTCACTGTCTCTACTAAGATTAAGCTAGGCTCTTAGTTGCCATAATACAATTTAGACTCTTCCTTGAGTCTATAACTCTCCCCCTTACAAAGGTAATATTAACTCCCTTAAGCTGCCTGAGCTTAAGTTCCTTCATTTCAAATAAGTGAAGAAAGGATGAATAGAGTAGGTTTAATAATAAACTACTACTTGTTTAGAACTATCTCTAAGAGTGGATATACAATCAATAAAAGTACAGAGAAAAGAAAATATACTAGTAGAAGGTAGTAGAGAATGAATGTTGGTAGTTGGCTCAATTTTTCTTTTTTTTTCCCTTCTTCATAAATGCATCCAATTTATAGTCGATTCTAGAGATTTATCCATTAGACTCATATAATTGTTGTTGATTACTTTAATTCAATTCTTAGAGCTCTTTCATATTTTAAGATAATGGAATAGTACCCTTTTGGTGGGTTTGCGTGTTATTGGAG